GATGGTGTCTCGCTTCGTCTTGGCGATGACGTTGCCCTTGTCGTCGCGCGCGCCGGCGGGCGCCTTGGCCATCGCATGGTGCGCGAGCTCCTTTGGCACGGGCATCTTGCACGCCTCGAGGTACTACTTGAGGTCGTACATGATCTCCTCGTCCTGGTCCGCGAGGAGCGAGATCGGCGTGGATGCTCACGCAGTCGTCCTTGCGGTACCGCCGCTCGTCGCGTCGCTTGTTGGACTGGCGCTTGGCGTCATCCTGGTTCGTCGCTTCATCACGCGGGGTGTCGTCCTGATCCTGGTTGTTCTGGCGCGAGGCTTTGTCTTCGTGCTGGTCGTCGTCGCCGGCTTGGTTGTTCTCGCGCGGATCATCGTCATCGCGCTGTTCCACCTGGCGCTCGACGTTGCGACTCTGGCCGTACTCGTCGTCCTCGGCGGTTTGGACTGTGGATGCGCGCGCAGTGGACGTGGCAATGCTCATGGTTCCACCGCTCGTCTTCCCGCTTGGCGCAGCGTTCGTTGCAGCGCTTGGCGTCGCACTTGTCGTCGTCCTGACACTTGGCGTCATCGCGCGGATCACCATGGCGTCGGACTTGGTGGTGCGTGTCGTTCTAGCCCACGTCGCGCTCGCGTTGTGTGGGCAGTCTCGCGACGTCCTGGCGCGCTTCGTCCTGGCGCACGGCATAATCTCGTGGCGGCAGTCGTTGCGCGGCTGCCGCTTCGGTCGAAGGCCGTAAGAGAAACCTGGCGCCGTAACGGTGACAAGGCGCTGCTCGTCCAGCATGGCGGGATCGTTGCGCCGGCGGTCATCAATGCGGCCAAGGAGCAACGGCGAGTGCTCGGGACACGCGTAGCTGCAAAAGATGTCGAGGACGGTGCTGCTCGGGATGATACGCTGAAGGTAGCGCGTGTAATGAGCGCGCCAGGCCCACGTATCGCCGTAGCGCTTAGCCTTGCGCATGAGGGCGAAACCTTGGTCGCCCTCGAGTCTCGGCGCGTAGGGCTCTGTGATGCGGAAGATGATGTCGTGGTGGCCGTAGCTCTTGGTAGCGGCCATCCACACGGCCTTGTTCGCGCATACCCAATCGGCGGGCTCGGGGCCGAGACACGTCTTGAGCGCATGGTACATGTGCTCGTTCGTCCACGTCGTGCAGTGGAAGAACTCGTTGCGGCGTCAAACTGGACCATGTAGTCGGCGAAAAGTGAACCGAGACCGGGTACCTTGCCTCGCCGGTAAACGTGTCCAGGCGAAAGCTCTGGAGGTTCGGCGACTGGTTGCAGACCATGTCGCCGTAGCCACCTTGAGGACTCGAGAAAAGGACCTGGTACGCGCTGCACTTGCGCGGGTGGTCGTGTCGAGGTGAGGCGGTGTCGACCTCGATCGTATGTACGCGCAGCTTGTTGTCGAGGTCCATGACTGTCGCGGCTGCGGCGTTGACCCAAGAACTCCTTGCGGGGCGAGCGCGTGAGCCTCTTCGCTGGCGTCAGAGTCTTGGTCTTGGTTGAAGGATCTTGTGGGAGGTGCACGGTCGTAGACGTCGGTCGCGCTCGACTAGCGCTCGACTTTGAAAACTCAAGAGCGAATCGTCAGCGGGCTGCAGTCCGTAGCGACGGCCTCGCTTCGTTGAGTGCATGCTTGGCCTCGCAAGCCAGGCGTGGCGTGGAGTTGCCCAATGGACGCGCTGTGATTGGCAGCGGTCGACCAATCGGTCACCCGGGGCTGCACGCATGTCTTCGCGCACGCAACTTTGGTGGGGGCAGACGCTCGTCGGGGACGGGCTTGTGGCGAGAGGCTCGGCGCACGTCTTGTATGGGCTACGCAACGTCTTCATAAAGCCAAGAGACTTCGTGCCATGCGGCACAGCTCCTGCGGGCACTTCTCTTGAGCTCATAACCTGTATTTGCTCGATGGCCGAACATTTGACTTGTCCACAGTCCACAGACTAGGTCAAAGTGATTCGATTCTGCGACGGCCGTGAATCAACGTCTTGGAGAGTGAAGCTCGAAGCTCGGAGCTGGTGCCACGTCATGCACATCATGTCGTGCGTGTCATGTGTGTGGGCGCTGGTAGATGCAAGTCGGGCCAGGATTGTAGTTCGAGCTCGTTTGTACGCAGCCTATTTCATCGGTCCCTATGGTATGCCACACGATGTACCAAGCGAGCTACTCCAGTGCGTTACCGTGCTCTCGGACGCCTGTGTCGACCGACCACGTGGCACCGAATGGCGACGTCGCGCACCTGCTTTAGCGTGTGCGCACCAAGCTGGCGGCGGCATCCCTGCTCACACCTACCCAGGTGTACGCGGTCCAAGCTATTGTCGACTCGAGACTGGTTCTGTCTTAGTAGCGCCCGCTCAAGACTTGTACATTTAGCACAGTTGTCGACATCTAGCATTATCAGTTCAAACGTCGCAAAAAGTACATTTCATTACAAATTGATTCGATGCATGTTGTTTGTGGTATTAGTAAATAGATGAATGATTCATAATCGAGAGTCTCCTAGTGCGCGCGTTGCTTGTTGCGTGCGTCGCGCAGGATGCGCTCGACGGTCAAAGCGAGCGCACTCGGGCGAGGGCACGCTGTCGCCAGAGGCGATGTGACGGCTGCCTTGCGTGGCGCCGCGTGGATCATAGGGCGAAACGTGCACCCTGCGAGCTCTTTGGCGGCCTTTGCGGCCGCGCGCTCGGCCACGATGTTGTGGCGCGGCTTGGAGAGGCGCTCGTGCACAGGCACCGCTGCCGGCGCCGGGTGGATC